CAGCATGGCTGGCTGGGGAATTCTGGGAGTTGAAGTCCACTCATCTTAAAGTTGTTGAGGTTGAGGAACCCTGATCTAAATGATACAGCAAACCACAAAACAGTAACAATTTTGTTGGCTAAAAACATTAAAACAGTTCCTAACTCTATAATTATATAAAATCATAGCACCAATTGATTTTTCACTTTTCTTCCTAATGGTATCAACAAAACTGGTTTTGTTTTATATTTTTATACTGTTTGTTTTATCTTATACGGAGAGCCAGTTCAGTCTAGTGGTGAAGGCCCCAGGCTAGAAAGCAGGAGACTCTGAGTTCTAGTCCCGCCTTAGGCAAGAAAGCCAGCTGGGTGACTTTAGGCCAGTCCCCCTCTCTCAGCCCAACTCACCTCACAGGGTTGTTGTCGTGGGGAAAATAGGAGGAGGAAGGAGTATTAGGTATGTGTGCCACCTTGAGTTATTTATAAAAATAATAAAGGCGGGATAAAAAATCTAAAAAAAAAGAAAAGAAAACCCTGTTCAAGTAACAAAAATGCAATTTAAGTGATAGTGGTGGACTTATTCAATTTATTGAGTGAAGGACCTGAGATAACATACATTACAGATTAGTACTGAGACAATACACTTAAAAAAAAAAAAAAGAGGTAGCAGTTAAAATGTGAGGGAGGCTCTCAGAGTGGAGGTTTAAAGAATGCTTCTTAACAGGCCATATTTTTATAGGAATTTTAGTCTATGAATTAGCCATTGTTCCATAAAACAAAACATGCAGAGCATGCAGCTTTTAAAATATATGTAGAACTGTGGAGGATCATTATTCTCTTATTTAACTAGTGGGAATGCTCCTGCAAGGTCTAACTTCAGTAAATATAAGGATGCAGCAACTGGAACCAGAAATGGTTGACTAGCTAGTTGCTTGCATGCCAGCAGCCTACATGTATAGTGTATAAAGAGTACCCCATCGAAAATAAGAATCTACTTGCATGGAGACTACTATTTCTTTGTAGTTTATGACTTTAAAACTATTTTATTGCTTCCCAAATAGTAAAATGTAGCTATCGTGAATGACTGCTTAATCAGCAATATTGAGCAGGTCAGGCTATATGAGAAGATACATACAGTAGTTATCTATTATTATTTTTGGAAAGATGAACATAGAACAGAAATTGCTTGAGCCCAGTACATTCACATATTCTCCATCCTTCAAATGTGTCCAATCAGATTTTGCAACATTATGCAACATTTTAAAATCAATTCATAGTCATGGATTTAAGATTATGAAAATTGTTGCTGTAGTTACTATGATTTTACTTCAACAACTAAGCAAGGATTTAAGCTAGGACTTTCTCATGCAAGACCAATACACCATATTCGTTAGACCACACTGATTCTTATATTTACTCATTTTCATACCACTACCTGTTTTTTTAAAAAAGTGAAACCAATCTACATAGCTACCAACCTTAAAATGTAGAGAATACAATATGATGAGAAAAATTATTCAGAAAGCAGGATGAGGTAAGAGTTTCCATTAACAGGAAATGGACTGCCCAGAATCTCTGCAGAGGCTTTGGGAGAAGAGACTAGCTTTGTTACACTTTCATAGTACAGCAAAGCGGGTAAAAATGGATTCAGTTCCTAGATTCTACCAGTATCATCAGAATAGGCGAACTATGGCAAATTCCTAAGTGTTGCAAAGTTTTCATATGGAAGTACCCATAATGTCCTTTCCTTTGTGGATATCTAGGTAAGCTACAATTAGTCAAGATGTATACCAGTTAACAGTTCTTTTTGGAGGGCTCTGTCACTTGCCCTTAAACTGAGTTTCAAGGAACCAGGAAGTTTTATAACCAAAATCTCTGAATAAACCTGTTTCTTTGCTTCATTATTATACATAGGGTGAATGCAAATTAAATTCTTATATGGAAAAACTACAGGAGTTTTGATACAGGAAAAGCTCAAACATATTGTTCTTCGTTTATCTTTTAGTATCAATGTGCATTTAATTTATTTATTTACTTCCTCATGGACTCAGCTGATCCACCATACTTGGAATAAGCATTTTGGATTGGTTAGAAGGCTGAAATAGATGATCATATGAGGTTGGATTCTTTTTTCACTGTAATTCTATCACCTGCTGCTTGTCTATCTGGTCTTCCTCATCATCTGTATAATGTTCATCATAGATGCTTAAAAAAAAAAGAAAGAAATTATGAGTTTCCTTTTTCTAAATTGAAGAATATCTGTTGTTGGGCAGTTATGAAGCACTTGGAACTTCTCAAGGAAACTTGAAAAATTCCATCTAGCTTCTGAAAAAACAAGTGGTCTACATTATGTACAAAGCTCAGAAGACAGCAGATCTAGCAAATGATCTCTGTTTGCTCCCTCTTTTGAATGGTAGCTCAATTCCAACTGTATTATATTAAACAATTCCAACTGTATTACATTAAAACCAAATTATATGAATTATAAAGCACATGTAACTGTTCTGTTACTGTTTTTCTTAAAACTCAAAATAGCACATACAGATGGGGATGGAATTGCAAGGATGAGAGCCACAATGAAGAAGAGGGTTGAATTACAGCTGCACGAAAATATTTAGGCACTCCTAATCAAATGGAATGTTTCACTGAATCCCTAAGTGAACAGGAACTGGTATAAACATAATAACTTTCTGCAAATTTAAATGCACATTTACTATGTACATTTGTGTACAGATTCAAAATAAGGACAACGAATATTGCAGGTGCAGAAATTAAGACACCCTTCCAGTTGATTCAATGGTATTTTTATGTAGTATGCTGTAAATCTATTAATAAAGCCCCCAAAATTGGTTGACTCATTAGACCCGCTGTACAATTAGCCAAGTGAAGAAAATTCCATGAGTTGTTCTGTCTACCTTCAACAACCATAGGCTGATCCAAACTGCTGTCTCAGCATTTGTAAATGAAAGCAATTCACTCTTACAAAATAGAAGGCATAAAAACAATATCTAAATGCTTCCATCTAGCAAGTTAAACTTGAAGCAATATTGTTAAGAAATGAAGAAGAAAATCTTTTAAAACTTGAAAAAAATTGGAACAAAGTTCTTTGGACTTAGGAAACAACAATTGAGCTGTTCAGCCACAACCACACAGAATATGGAGAAAAGAGGTTACATCGTTTGAAGAAAAGAAAACCTTGCCTGCCATTAAGCATGGGGTGGCTGTGTTATAATGGTCTGTGAAAATGTCCTTGAGAAACAGGAGGAGGAGCAGCAGCAGCAGCAGCAGCAGACTAGGCAATGGTCAGAAAAGAGGCAGCTTAGCCTACAGAAGCAATGGGGGCATAGCAAGCATCTCAGAAGGGACCCTCCCTAGTTTCTTTCTTTCTTTATTCAATAAATATTATATATTATATTCTTAGACTGTAAAGGCGAGGGGAGAGAGATGTACAATAAAGGTAGTGTTAGTACTCATGGTTGGTGTTTTCAGACTCCCTCTAAGGGCTGATAGTTATGGTTTGGGGTTTGTGTGGCAGTCAGTGGCACAGGAAATATTCCCATACACTACCACTCACTCTTAAAACAGTCAGATGCATTATTTTAATCAGTATAAAATGTTATATGCCAGCCTTACTGCATTTTGGGGCCTCTTTTATGAATTCTCTTGATTCAGGCCCTGAATCTTTGTTCATAAATCTTGCCCCAATGGCCTAACTGTGTATCAGCACCAACCTTCCTACTATTTCCAGTTAAAAAAAAAACTAAATAAATTGAATTTCAAGTGACATTTATAAAATCTGAAACAGCTTTTTTGCAAGAATATTAACACCAATCAGCCACAGAAAAAATCACATCTAAAGAAATAGAATTTATAAGAGGCTTTTTAATTCTGAGCTAGTGAACAAAGAACTAATTAGTTTAAAAGAGTTGTTGGATCTTCTAAAAGTTGTGGGGCATTCTTACTACACATATAGGCAATAAAAGAAGCTTCAGGTTTTCATGCAGATGTAGGACTGGGCTCAAAATTGTAAGAAGCCCTGGTGAGGTTCTGGTGGAAAAGATTAAACTGGATAACATAGGTAGGGAGTAGGAGAAGAATGAAAAAGAATCCTTGATAGAGTTCTTACCTGAAGGCAGATCCCATTTTTATTAGAAACAGAGATAGTTTGATGCTTTCAAACCATGCATAATTAAACATTTCTCAGATGAGCTAATAATTGGGAAACAAATTATATTAGCAAATAATTAGAAAAAATAAATTAACCTACATGAGGGCACTATTCTTCTAACAACCATTAAGACCTGTATTGTTTACAGAAAATTATTAAACAAAATGCCAGGAACATTTCATAAAAGAAAACTGTCGTTTACAAAGCAAGGAATATAGAGATGTAGGAAGGGGTGTCCTCAGAGCTTAATAAAAGTCAGGATTAACTAACCTTACAGCATCACCTTGACTATTGTCTTTTATTTCATGGTTATTATGGAAATCCTGATATGTGATTTTTGAATGTCTGTTGAAGTCTCCATAGTTTAAACCATTGAGATTTTCCCAGGAATCTGAAATGTTCAATACATTTTTTAAATTACACCCAATGGAAATTCTTAGATGTCTGTTCTTAAATACTTACAAAGCATGAGGAAGGACAATCAGCTCTGATAAAGTGTGTTATCTTACATACTTTTAAAAAAGAAAAAATACTCTTGTTCAAAATATTGCTGAAAACTCTTCAGTGTAATATAGATATCTACTTATTTAACTGACTCTATTGTAAACTTATGGAACTATCACATGATGCCAGGTCAGTGCTACAGTGCTATACTGGAAGAACAGCTTCAATAAGTGAAAAAAGGAATATACTGTATTACACATGGTTGCATGCAATATTTCTACCAAAGGATCCAATACATCTTGCATTCTCCCAATCTGCTGTATGAATTAACAGGGATGGAAAAGTTGCTGTGCTAATGGTAAGGATTACATATTCTGAAGGCTGTTGGAGATAGCCTTTTGATTCAGACACTGACAATATCATGGACAAATGAATTGCTCAAAACATCATGTCCTAAGGTTTGCAAAAAAATAAAAATAAAATAAAATCTAGATTATGTGCTTGTAACTTGACTTCCTAGCACCATAAATAAAACTTCTGTTTGCTGAAAGCAATTCATAGAGCAGAAAAGGACTGAAAGCTAAGATACTGAGCACTGAATACACATTGTATAAATTTATCCCTTTGCTTGCTAATCCATCCTAAACCCAAAATCCTTCCTCATGTCTTTCTACTCTAATCCATTTCATTAGGCCCAATCTTTTGTTCCTCCTCCATGCTCCTCTAAAACATCTACATGCAGCCTTCCCATAGACTGTTTCCTCTGCTCTTCAACAATATCCTTCTTCTAGGCAGCTGGCTTTGGTCTATTTTCCTAGCCCTCCTGTGTCAGGGAAAGGAAATGGGGCTGCACCATATGATCTTCTGACCCATGAAAAAGTCTACTATGTTAGCCAATCCTTCTATACCCAAACAGCCATCAATAGCTTTCCAACTAAGCTTTTCTATGTTAAAATCACTTTTCTCCTTTTAAAATAATAAAAAAGAGAAAATAATCCACAGGACAAATTCACTTGAACTGAACTATAATATGATCAATAAAGCTTTGTAGTTGTATCCAAAGGAATGTTCAAAGTATTAGAAATAGATACTGCAGAGGAATGCTAAACTTTGACCCCTTATTGATGCCTCTCCTTCTTTAGCCAATGTTAGGACCGAATAAATAATATTGCTTATGTTTCAATTTTCTGGCCTTCCTTGTGAGTAATCCAGACAATTGGGAAAACAAACACACAAACCTATGCAAAAAACATATACCTTATAAGGATACTTAAGCTATCAAAATTACATTATTTCAGTAAGCAAATGTAATAACCTGGCATAATTACCTGTAATACTCTGCAATTCATGGTCTAAATCTGTTAAGGCTTGTTGATTAGTATAATATTCTAAAAAAGGATCATCATTTTCAGTGACATCAATGCCTTCAATTTCTGAAATTTCAAAAGCAGCTTGAGATAAAGGTCGTGTATTCAAATGTTTGGACGCTGTCTCAATGACTGAAGATGAGCGAGGACTGTGTTTAACAATTCTGCAAAGGGGAATATTTGCAGAAAAAGGTCTTGAAGAAGCATTATCTGAAACAAAAGTAGAGGAATATGTGAGTTGTGAGCATTGCATTGAGAAAACCAGTATATTTGGGAAGAAAGTGTCATATTGTAGACAAGGATTTGTTTAAGGTGACAATACACACAGTGGCAAATTATGATTTCTTATTGTATAATATATTGATCAGTCTTGGCCTTCCATGACATACTATTATAACATTTCAATCATAACTGGTATTAGGACATGTAGATGGGACATGATTGTTGTAATGTGGATTGTTCCTGTTTAGAATTCCACCTATTCACTTATGCTTTTTTCCAGGGTTTGAAGTCTGAATTCTGTAGTTATTAATCTTTTCTTTGAGCAATTTTAGTTGTTTTGTACTTCTGCAAACCTTCACAGGCCTGCTAGTATTATCTCCCTTCTGAATGGAACTATTCTATCTGCATGAAGATCAAAACTCTGAGGATGGGTGTGCTATTAGTATACATTATTTTATCAATTCACAAAATCTGAACAACAAATAAAAAATATTCTTTTTCCCTGATTCACAAATGATTTGCTTGATTGTATAATAAGACAGACAAATAAAACATTTATTAAACCCTATACATGCTATACTAGGCAGAAGGCCAGAAAGGAGAATGAGTATGCATAAATGCTATCATGGAAGATTACTATTACAGGATTTTAAAAAAAGACAACACAGCAGCAGTTTTATCACCACCAAAGTAGGTTTTTTGGGAAATGTATGCAGGCCACTGAAACTTGATGTATGACTCTCTATCATAACACAGCAGAGAGAAAAGCTCAACTGCTGACTTTAATTCTTTACAGTATATCTAACATCAGTCAATGACTAAAATACATAATAATGATCAGTGAGCTGAAATATTCCAACCTGATTTTCATATTCCAGCTATTGTGTTGGGAAAGACTTATGCAGGGAGGTTAAATTACTGCTGTCAGTACACAATTAGTGTTAGAAGGCACTTACCAATGGACAAAATTGGCAGAGAAAGTTTAATACTTGGTGTTTGCCTTCCCAGTCTACTTAATGATCTGCCAGGCTCTTTCTCCAATATTTCTTGTACTAGAGATTCATCAGCATATTCCCCTAAACTCAAGTGTCTTGTCCATTGCTCAGATCCTGAAGATGAAAAGGTAGATCCAATTAAGACAATCAGACTTTTTACAATAATCATTTTTTATACTGGTCAGGATCTTTTGCCTTTAAATGCATCCAACATTCAACTATTTGAATCAGTTGTCCACCCTTTCTCAGAATTTGAATAATATACTACTGCAATTCTGCCTCTCTCCCTTCATTTTGCACTTTCAATAGCAACCTGACATGGAGAAATTAAGCAAGTGAAGTTTTTTCAGTTGCTTATCTCCCTGACAAACTGCCCAAAGCATCCAAGTTGTATATTTGCAGTCTATTCTGTGAGAAAGCAAAGACGGCAAACTTATGTACCATTCATATATAACAGAATGAAAAACTGTTAGAAGATCAAGCTTGCATTAATTTAATCAGTACATCATTCATCTAGATCTTCAAGTTGATTAATTGGTGGCAGCCAGTTTAAATTGGCAAGGGCAAATTTTAATAAAACAAGCTGTTACGGGCAATTTATTGTTACAGGCTCATTTTCTTTCTGTAATAAACACTGAAAAAAAAGGAAAGTGTCTTTCCTTGTGAAAGGAATTACAGACTTATTAAATTGTTACCTTACATTCATCAATTTGTCTAAAAAAAACTATATTGAGCTGTTGCTAATATGGAAATCTAATTAAAATTAATCAATGTATAAATATATTACACAATAAAAAGGAAGGCAGATCAAATAAAAGTTCTCATCGGCTCATAGCCACAAAATAAAGTGAATGCAAATGTTTAAATCATTACTTTCTATTTAACACAGTTAGTAAGAGAAAAATCCAGACTTAAATTCTGACTTCAAGTCCACCATTTGAATGGGTAGAATTTTCTCCTGCCTATTCCTTTTGTTTCCTCTGGCAACCACTGAACATTTCATTCTGAAGTTTAGGTAGCTTTCTAGAACTATAGGGCATTGGTACATGGAACCACAGCAAAAAACAAAGAATTGGTAGAGTCAAGGAAAAGCCTTTATGGACAGAAATTCATATGCTACGCTATGCGATGTTAATTCAATGCGTCTGTCTATAAGAAACTAAAGTGTGGGGAAACAGAAATTATGAACAGGTGAGCTGCCTTAAGCAATGTCTTTCAGGAACTGGTCACTGTTTCCAGTAAAACAAGACCTGTCTAGGCAATAGGCTTATTTCAGTAGAAGAACCCACTGACTTTATAGGTGTACCTGTTACCAGTCTCTGAGATGGTGTGCACATGTGTGTGAATTTTTTTTAGCTTGCAGAAGACAGCAACCACAAGAGTGCCCAAAGCTGGTTTCAAACTGGATTTTGAGGAGTAAGCTAAGCAAAACATACAAGCTCAAAAACTGCACATGGTCAAAATGCATATATGTTATTAGACTTGTGCTCATATCTAATGATGTAATTAGGGTAAATATATCAAATCACAGAAATAGAGAAAATCCTGTTGGTTGAGGTAATACCTATGGTTATTAAATGGATTTCCCCCCACTCTCTTGTTTCTGTTAGTTAGCCCTTTTCCTTTCTCTTTTTGACATATTTAGTTTATATTATTTATTTATTTAGAGAATGTGTATGGTCGCCCATCTTAAATGCATAATCCTGAGTGGCTAACAACAGTTCACAAATAGATTCATACACACACATAAACACACACACACAAACTCAAAACACAAATCCAAAAAATGTTTAAAGTATCTTAATCACCATAATATATCTATTTTTTTCTATACTGTATAACTATCATTCATCTTTTTTTTGTTGGTACTGAAGTTTTTGTCTTTCACTTTAAAAATAAAATTAAAAATTACATAGATTGAGATAAAGATTTTTATGTGTTCCAAGAAGCATGCAGTATATCAGAAATAAGAATGCTGACTTCTCCCAATGGAGGGTCACTCTTCTGGCTAGATCTAGATACTGGGATCTACATATCCAAAATGACAGAGCAAAAGTCTCCCATCCCTTGTTAGATGCTAAGGATTTTCTTGCCATTTTTTAAAATTCTTTTTGTAGTTATTGTATTCTATGCTGGTCTTTTATTGTGTTTGGTCTTGGATCGTAAATAAATTTTCATTGATTGTGCCAGGAGATTTCAGTTAAAGCTCTTGAGACTTGAGCTGATACTGTCTTGTTGTCAGATTGTGTCACCAACTGAAACCTTTGAAAGACCTTTAATTCATAGTCTTTTCTCTAGATAGATTTGGTGGAAAGTGAGCTTGACCCCAGCTGCAACCCCAAGGTGATAAACATTCCAAGGTTATAAACCTGAATGATCTGGGAAGCTGAACCCAAAATATTTACTTTACAACCCCACAAAAGTAAAACAGAAAACTGTTTTAAGACAATATGTAGCTTTTTCATTAATGACTAGGTTGTTTATTAAGCAATTGACTTATCTCTACATGATTAATTAATGATTACCCAAAGAGCTCTCTTGATAAACAGGAAAACAAATCTCATCAACCACAGCTTTGAAGAAATTCAAAAAAATCAAATACTTAGATAGTTATATTTCCCACAATAAGTATAATGAGGCATTGCTTGCAAGTTACACATGAGAGAATACCATTTTTTAAAATGGTGCAATATTTCTGTATGTCTTTTAGATATAATATCTGTAACAATTTAAGCCAAAATTGCTTGAGCATAATGCTGTGTCTAAACATACAGACACATTTTTTTGTCAATTTAAAAATGTAAGTGAAGCCATCATGCCTTAAAGAAGATGTTCTCAATAAGCAGAAACAGCACTAGAGAAATTTTCTTCTGCATGACTACCTGAAAATGAAATGCTGCTCTTTGGAGACTCTCGGGCCTTGTGTGATGAAGGAATGGAATCCATCCCAAGTTGCAGACAATTTGTACCCATTGTAAAGAATCCTTCAAGTCCTCGATAGGGGTTACAAGCAGGTTTCTCTCTTAGGGCTACCTGTAACAACTAGAGTGACAAAAAAAAAAAAAAGATTAGAAAGATAACACTGAGAATGGTCTTGAACTCCTCCTGTATGAGCTCATGCATAGCATGTTCCATTTAAAACATCTGAAATCCAGAGTAACCTGGTACAGGCAGACTAGTTAGGACTATCAATCATTTACTGTCTCTCCTTAAGGTTCCAGGTAAGCAATGAAATTATAGTTTACAAGTTTTGTTGCTGATGTTGATGTTGTTGTTTTGGGGGGGGGGTGTTTTATTTTAGCTAAGCTACATCTTGTACCCAGAGATTTTCCCCAAAGTGCCATGATGACCTCCTCATCATCCTGCCCAGAGGAGAATATCAGGAAACCAACTTAAGTATAAAGTATTCAGTACTGATTTAGTAGTAATATTACTGTACTGTCTTGCCTACTCAGAATTAGGTTCCTTACATTTAGTGGAACTTGTTTCTAGATAGACAATATTAATCCTTTTTTTTTTTTTTGAGGTCAATCCTTGCTTTATTAAAGTTTCATTAAGCTGCATCTCTATTTAGAACCAATGTGGCATGCAGGCATAACCATATGCCTAATCATATATAATATAATATAATATAATATAATATAATATAATAATATAAGTATATTAGGGAATATCTCAAGCAGGGAGATAGCTAGCCCCATAGTGGCCGGCTGTCCCCGGCCTGATTTTCCATCTTCTTGGATTTTCCTTTTTTAGTATTGTTTAGTATGTATTTTATATATATTTATAGTTTTAATGTCTTTGTAAGCCGCCCAGAGTCCCCTATTGTGGGGGAGATGGGCGGGGGAGAAATCCAATAAATAAATAATATTAAAAAGCTGAAGTTATCCACATGTATTATTTTGGACCTCTTTGTGCAGCATAAGAAATATAAGTGGATTTGGATATACTGAAATTTGTTCAGTTCCACAGAAATAAAATAACATAAAATAAATCCCATGTATAAAATAAAATACACATTTTTAAAAGTATAGACAAGTGAGATGTCACAGCTATAATACATCTAGAAACAACAAATGTAGATCCTATTTACCAGCAAACCATAGTGGCCTCATTTGTTCCAGTGCAAATTCTGCAAGCAAATTTTATATACACAGGCTGCTCTACCAATATGGCTTTTTTTTTGTTTTTTAGATTTTACATTTAAAAGAGGAATATTAAGTAGAAGCTTAAGGCCAATGTTATATTAGATATTTGAAACACTGAAGCAATACAAATCTTATTTGAGGCTATTACAAACTAATTAAAGGACAGAGCAAAAGAAAAGAAAATTAAGTTTGTAATATTAAAAACAACCAGTTGAAATCTAATATTTTCTCACAATACAATGAGTTCCAAATGGGAATCATCAAAGCGTAAGTATATTTAAATGGATTATCAATGTAACAAACTATTTAGGGTCAGGAATCTCTGATCTGTTCTCTAAGCCCATACCCTCCTCACTCAATTCCTATCATTTAAGCTTCCCCTGGTATTATTATTAAAGGAAAAAAGCAGAAACTGCTATAGATAAGTGGTGGCCCAAGGAAGGAATGCAGCGTGGGAAGGGGAGATAAAAGGACAGGGAAGAAAAAGATAAAGCAAGGTAGTGAACTGAATAAACTGTGTGCACATGTGAGAGACAATATGTATATGTTATGTATGTGATTGTGATAGAGAGTTCTGTGACTATATGTGAGAGAAAAAAGAAATGTGTGTATTAGGGATGTTCAAATTTTTCTAATCCCAAAAAAGCACAAAATGGGTAGTTTTGAGTATTCTGAAGTGAAGTGATAATGAATCAGACCTACAGTGAGTTCTTTAGAAGTGAAAAAAAATGTCATTTCAAGGTCAGAAAAATCCATTAAGGGTCAGAACATTCTGTGATGGAACATTTTCTACACGTCTAAAATGTTCATGTGGGAAAGTGTAGTGATGGCTCTGGATTGCCCTGTGTGACCTTCAGGAAGCTTTTTTTACAAGCAGAAAACAATCCTCAACCCAGTAAAGATTCACACGTCTGTATTAGCTGAATCTTAATGCTCAAAGAATCATCCTAGACACGGCTATGTACTTGCTGAATAAATCGCTGAAAGAACACCATCTGCATCAACACCAAAGATCTTTTCAGAGTGTCACTGTGCAAACAAGTGGGACACAGGAGAAAATACATCACTCTCCCCTCCTCCCCACCACCAGCCAACAATAATGTGAAATCTTTTCAGAATAAAGAAGGGGGGATTGGAAGGATGGGTGGTGCCCCTACTTCCATCCCTGATTGCTGAATTTTTCCTATTCTAAAATCTTCACAGAGCAACCCTGGAACATGGTTTCTGAGTATATTAGGTATACTTACTTATTTATTTTAGACATTTTGAGATCTCTTAGAAAGTCAGCATGTGATTAGGAACTATTTCCCTTGAAGGAAGCTAAAGCAGGTGGATAAAGGGCAGGAAACACTACCAGTAATCATGAAGATAGAGTGAACATATATCTTAGTAGCCATGCTTCCACTTGCATACAAGGTCTCTTCAGAAACTTGGGATTATGTTTTGCTCTCTGCATCCTCTCTCTCCTCCCTCCCTCTACCTCATATACCTCATGGATTCAGGAGTTCCACCAACACACAAGGGGTCTCATGAATGACAAGCCTGGAAATACAGTGTTACCATATAGCCAGAAATGATTTCTATTGCTATTCTAAAAAATAGTTCAGGAAATAGTATGGGAAATAATCCCTCCCAAAGCTAAAACAGTAGTAGTAGCAGTAACAGTAGTAGTACCAATGAATCTTTGGGAGTAACTGGTGAAGCATCATGCATGTCTTGAGACACTTTGCTTTCTTTAACTAACTCCATTACTGGGAAAGGTTTGCTGGCAGCCCATTTAGGAGGACTAGATGTCTGCTCATTTGACATGCAACAGCTTTTCTTTTTGGTTTTACCACACTTGTCTTTTGTTATTGCTCTTTCAGATAAGGAACTGGGAGCCATTTCTTCTGCACAGGAACAACCACCAGCAACATCAGCTTTTTCAGACTGTGAAGGTGTTCTTACTAAAGAATTGAGGCAAAGGAAAAAAAAATCTTGTCAGCTGAAATCCCTGCACGTAGCCTCTCAAATAATTAGCCTAAATAGAGCACTTACACCAGAGTTTTATCAGCTCACATATAAAACAACAACCTTTATTCGGAATTGCTTCTCAGACTGAAGTACCAAATGCAGGCCGAAAATGCTGTATTGCTGGCTTCCTGCTGGTATTTCAAATTCAAAGCTTATTAATTAAGGTTAATCAGCAAAACAAAAACAAAAAAAACCCCAAAGGTATTCCCTGTACATTTTTCCATGTGTTTCATTTATCACTTGCCACATTTCACCTTGTCCTCTAGCTATTCTGAATACTGAAGGATTAAATCCATGCAGGCCTCCTGTCTAGTCATGTAGCCAGTAGAAATAATTTTATATATGATTGGAAATGTAGAATGCATAAAGAAGGGCCTTGAAGGACAGTGGGATGATCTGCTCCCATGGCAACAATCAGACAAGTGCAGTTTGAGCCCATTCCAACAAACTAATTTGAGTAAATATCTCAGAACCCTCTCTTGTTCACAAGTGGGGGAGGAGGGAAGCACATACAGACTTGAAAGACAGCTACATCTATTCTAATAAAAGTAGTTTTAGACCTATATGGCACTGGTTTATCAGTCTGGTCTCCCATATAGAGCTGAACAAGAAGTAAAAGGTATCTATATTAAAAAATTACCTGCATCCCAGTGGTCTATTGGGCAAATCAACCGTTTTTCTGAAGATATACCCTTGAGAAAAATATAGAAACTGTTGGCAAGGCTGCATCTGAAGTTTGTAAGTGAGCCTGGAACAATGTTGTCACCTTTAACAGCAAAGGCAAATGTTATAAGCTTACCTTTAGGAGTTTCTTCATGTTTGTTATGAAGAAAAGTTAAGCCCTTTTCTCTGTCGGCTACAGAAGAAAGAGGTGACCTTGTATTGATATTGACAGTGGGTGGCAGAAAAATGTCTGGTTCAATCTTCTGACTTTTTGATATGGTACCACTTGAGATAAAAGGGAAAAAGTAGAATTAAAAAATGATCAAACTGTCATGTTAGAGCATCATCATACAGATTTCTGTGAGGCAAACATACATATAGAAATAATTTTTTTAAAAAAATTAGAAAACAGCATCCTGTAAATTGCAACTACCTGATGATTTTATATTGAAGGCATTTGAAAATTCATTGCTTGCAAGTATTTTAATTGGAATAAACAATTATTTTGCACATACATTCTACAAAGATGTGTATAATGAACTGTTTTATCTTTTAAAGAAAAGTAGCATAGAATACTAGCATACAAATATAAATTATGTTTTCAGAAAACAAAATAAAAAATAAATATATTAATCATTCTGAAATCTTGTTGCTTTTTTTTTTTTTACTAAATATTGTTTAATGTGGAGCAGCTAAACTGACTCTCTTGCTTAAGTTCTAGTTTAGAGCCTGAAATCGAGAAAACATTGAGGTTTTTACAAATGCAGAAATGGATATCCCCTTTATAAGTAACTCATGAGAAGAAATCCGTACACTGGATAGAGAGGACCATGCAGTTTTTCTATACTGACATCCACACATTGAGTATATACACCTTCAGAATGAAAGCCTATACACATAAAGACTACCGTGAGATAATAAATCAGAATTAGACATATCTTCTAGTCAGTCATCTCCACTGCCTTTCTCTGTGTCTGATTTCAGTTTTTCTGAATTGTTGCACAGAACTAGGCATAGCTCTGACCAGTGTTTAATAGAGGCAAATTATTATTTCTCATTATCTGGAAATTATTCTTCTTTCACTGTAGCCTAGAATTGCATTTCTTTCCTTCACAGCCGTGTCACACAGCTAATTTATTTATTTCTAATATTTTTCTAATAGTCTAACCTATCAGGTTAATTTTTAACTTTATTTTTTCCAGCTAGAGTATTAGCTATCCCATTTAATTTGTGTAATCTGCAAATCTGATAAGTGGTCTTTCCAATGCTTTACTCAGATCATTAATGAAAAAGTATAAGGCTACTGGATCAAAGACCAAAGCCTTTGACACTGCAATCTAATTAGAAATTATTATCATTCTCTTTTCAACAGCTGTGAACCCATTTAATAGATATGCTACCCATATCTATTGCTTGCTTAGCAGAATGTTATCAATGCTTTGTCAAATGTTTTCCTTAAGTCAAGAAGTATTGTGTTCATGGCATTCCTACAATCTATTAAGTTACCTTTTTTTAAAAAAATGGGATGTTAGTCTGACAACACTTGTTTTTTGACTAACCCGTGATCTAGTAATCACTGCACTGTTTCCAAGATGCTTACAGACTGATCGCTTTATGAGCTACCCTAGGATCTTCCAAGGTACCGCTGTCAGGTTGATAGGTCTGCAGTTCCCTAGGTCCTTGTTCCTTCCTTTTTCAAAAACTTTCAAATGAGACATTTGCCTTCCTCCAGTAATCTGGTAGGTCATCTATTCTCCAGGATTTCTCAAAGACTTTTGGCCACATCTTCAGCAGCTTCTTCAGTAACCCATCTTGTTCTGGTGACTCATTCAAGATCTGTAGGTATTCTCTGAATATTTATCAAGCTTAGATAGAGCAATCCTGCTCTTTCACAAAGGCACAGTTCATAATTATGTTGAAATAATTACCCATAGTAAATCAGCTCATCAGACCCAGCCTCCATTACTATAAAATTAGTGGGCTCTTCTTCTGACTCCTCTTTACAAGCCTTATAAGAAAACAAATACATACACATTATATTTTACCTTACAAATTACATTACAAAATAATTGGACTTTATATTTGTTGGAAAATTATTATGGGTAACTTCCAATTTAGTTTGCACTAAGCACACATTCTATTCAGTAACGCTAACAAAAATATAGCTTGATTTATCAAACATCAGCAAACATTAAAACAATTAGCTGGCAAAAATGGGACAAAAGGCAGACAAAAGCAAAGCAAAAGATATGAACAACAGGTAAGAGATAAAGAAGGTGGAGAGTTTAGTAACAATGATCTACATTATCTATCTTTATATATCAAAAAGCACTAAACTTTCCAGATCCTCTAGAAACAATACTGTGGGTAATTAGCATAGATAGTCCCAAAAGAAGTAGCCTTGCTTTTCCAGCTTTAACCCTTTAAAATTCGTGACTGCAGCAGACTACAGATGGAAAGTAGAATACTAGGTGATTCTACCTTCTCATCTACACCGTGAAAGTAACAATTTGGTGTAACATTTGATGATGTATCCAACAATACTTAGTTATACTATACATTTTCATCCTACTCTATACTAAACATATACAAATTCAGTAAGATGAAATCCAAAAGATTGGTTACAGATTACCTGCTATCTGAATGTGGACTTATACAGGTAGTCTTCACTAAGCAACCACAATTGAAGCCAGCAACTCAGTTGCTAAGTGCTATGGTTGCTAAGTGGAAAATCAAGTGACCATGACAGGCTTATGACCTCACTCCCCATCAGTTGTTAAGTGAATCAGTACAGTTGTTACAGTCATGTGACCACAACTTATGATTTTACTTCCACCTTCTCTATTAACTCTGCTTGTCACAGGCCAGTGGCAAAGCACATAAATGGTAGTCAAGTAACCGCAGGTTGCTATAATGGTTGTAAATGTGCACTGGTTGTGAAGTGCCTGAATGACAATCACATAACTGTAGGATACTGCAATGGTCATAAATGCAAGAATTGGTCACAAAGCTATTTTTTTACACCATTGTAACTTTGAACAGTCACTAAACAAGGCAGTTGGCCAGCAAGGACTACCTGTATTACTTCATATTTAGCCATTCCCTTCATTGCAGGGGTCATATAGCATAAAAAGAATCATAATTTCCATAAACAAACTATTCTAAGGAAAAAGTATGAATGTACTACACTCACTGTACAGTAGCTGCATTTGAACCAATTCATTTTATCCAAAGCTAACATCAAGATTAATTATCAGGTTTTGGATATACAGTGGTACCTTGGGTTACA